GGGAGTGGCCATCACTGCCGGTAACGTCGCGGGACGCGGCGCCACCCCCGAAACTTGCGCGGCAGACCTCGTGCCCGGAGCCGCGCTGAGACAGCAGTCGGAGCGCGCGGAACCGTGGTCGGAGGCTCCAGAGTTTTTTGAGCAGCCCAACCACAGCCAGATAGCTGGATGCTAGGCTCATCAAATTTATGTTTATTTAGCTTAAATACTGCCTCCGAATCATTGTGAATTAGAATTGCCTTTCTGAGCTCGCTTAAAAACGTTGTCTTTTTTCCTTAGTTTTCTTTCCAATAGTAATATCGCAAATATTCAACAAATTTGTATCGATATGATATCGATACTTCATACAATATAACTTAAAAATAATGAAGTTTTACAAGGAAATATTCTGTTTAGACTACACGGTGAAATTAACCCAGATAAACCCATATCTCTCTCAGCGGAAAAATAATTTTAATTTTTGGTCTATTTAGCTTAAAATGAAGTAAGAAAAACATCCTTAAACTCAAAAACAAAAAAATTTATTAAATTGTTGACTTTTGAAGGCGTCCTATATGTAGGACACTGGGTACATAGGGTATGATAATAAAAATTTACACTTTAGTGTGAAAATCAACAAAGCACTTGGTGTGTAGTCCCACATCGCATTTTTTGCATCGTGTAGTGGTTTTTTGATGACATTCGGCACATCTTGTTTGCCGATCTTGAACTATGACAAGATGATCAATACGATCATCAGGTACCTGTAGAGGTCCCGGACGGCTTTTTTAAAAGTTTACACTTTTTTTGTTTTGTTGCGGAAGCATTGTGGCTATGACTGGCCTGAAACCTAGCTGGTTGAGACTACCTCCTCGTTGCCGATGTAAATGCCAACTGTTTTGAAGGGCCAATAGCTAGAGGTGGAGAACTATCGATGGCACTATCGCCACTATCGATGGTTTAGCACTATCGAGCCACCATCGATGGCAGCAGACACCTTCGATAGTGGCCCATCCACTATCGATGGTGCCATCGATAGTGCGCTTCTTACAAGTGCCGAGTTATAAATTGCATATAATTGAGTATATTACTTTTTTCCAGGTGAATCAAACTGATTTCCCTGCCATTGGGAGCCTTTTCGCCAAATATCTTTGCATTCCGGCTACGTCCGTGGAGTCTGAAAGAACATTCAGCAAGGCGGGCCAAATAATATCGGAGAGGCGAACCCGACTCAAAGAAAAAAATGTTAACATTCTTTTGTTTTTAAATCGCAACTCTTGGCTGAAATAAAGCATATTTTATTGTATTCGTTTCATTCTTTTTTTTTAAATCGTAACTTAGTTAAAATAAAGCATAATATTTTTATATTTGCTTAATCAAATTTTTTTTGTTGGGCTACACTATCGAGCCACTATCGAGCCACTATCGATGGCACTATCGACACTATCGATGGTTTAAAATAAAATATCGTCGACCATCGATGGCGCTCACTATCGATAGTTCTCCACCTCTACCAATAGCGTTGAACCTCTTAAAAAATAAACATCGTAGATAGGTTAGTTACTGCTGTCCTATATGTAGGACACCTAGTTACACCCGCTTGAATTATCCACAATTTACAAAAATCATAATTATAAATATATTATTTTGGAAAAAGACACATTCAACTTTAATTAAAAAACAAACACGAATTGTTTTTTGCTCTTTATGGCTATTGAATTTGCTTACCTTTCGAAGCGTACCACCTGATTTTGCATTTTCGGAATTTCACAATATTCAACGCGGGGAAACACACTATTTAAATGCAACAATCCGAATGAATGCTCTATCACATCATTGCGCACTATTTACTGAACGAAAAATAACTTTTGTCTACTGCGTTGGCATGCGTGGGTTAGGATTTTCGGACGTGACGCGGGTGTCCTACATGTAGGACAGTAGCTGCATCTGGGTTAAACTTAACATATGGCCTATTGCCATTTACTTTATTCATCAATGATCTTCTTTCTGTCATAACACATTCTCGAGTACTAATGTATGCTGATGTTGTTTAATTTTGTTTGTCCTATAATAATTTGCAATCGGGTTTTGGTTTGCAGTCTAATATTGATTGCCTTCAGAGATGGTGTCAATCTTACCTATTTGCCTTTAATGTAACGCAATGACTTTAATAGGGGTACGCCTTCATTTATAAGCTATTCTCCTCATAATATTGACATAATCACCGGACCGTATATATTCGGTCAACGATTTAGGAGTTCTTCTTGACAAAAAATTAAAATTCTACTGTCACATAAAGTCTACTGTTTACAAAGCTATAAGTGTTCTTGGGTTTTTTAAGCGACTAAATAATTATTTACTTCCCTGGTGTGTCCTAATTTAGAATATTGCACACCCGTTTGGAGTCCCCAATATTAAGTACACATCGATCGCATTCAAAAAATTTATTCTTTTCGCCCTTCGTGGTTTAAACTGGAATCAAAACGCGTTGACTTTCAGAAATCGCAGTCGGTTAAGTAAATGCGTTCGACTGTTGGATGATTTTGGTTTTTGTCGCTTTTGTTTTGTATTTGTATTTGTATACAAGGTCGCGAAAACCAAAAATAATATCAAAAAGGGGAATTACACGTCCAACACTGGTCGTATGTTGGCTGCGGTGACGTGCAGTCGAAACTAGCGCTAGTCTTATCTGAGTCCGGGGATCACTCCCTAGTGAGTGCTCGAGCTATAATGATAGCTATAAAAATAAATTGTGTTATAAAGATTTATAACAAACTATGACCTCGAGATTTTCACTTTGATTTATGTATACAAAAATACAAGGTCGCTAAAACAAACAACAATTATTATAATATATTCAAATTGGTATTTCAACCTCTATCCCTGTCTTAAAAACTAAAATTTTAAGATATATAAATGCTATAAATGTATCTATATTATGGTATTTGTGTTTTCCTTGGCCGTTGGCCCACTTGTTTGTACTGTTTATAGCCCATCAACGTTCAACAATATATTTTCTTAATAAAATAGGTACCTTAATTCTTAAACAACAAATCATTACAATATACAATATATATATTTCTAAATATATTCAAATCAATTGAAAAACTGCTGAGTTATATAAGGTGTATAAATAAGTTCTTGCAGTTTCGAATACTGACGTCGCTACTTGTTTAGTTGGCCGGTATTTGATCTGGCAACACTGGCTTTTTGAATTGTCATTACTACGCTTCAATTTAACAACATTGTTTCTGTATACTCCAAAAATGTCAACTTTTGTTCCAAATATTGTTTTTTTTGAGGGAAGTTTTACTTCATTACTATAATATGAAGCAAAAGGCTGATGAAAGCCACCGTATGTAAGCTGAAGTTTATGGTGAGCATGCTTTAGCTGAACGACCGGGTCAGAAGTGGTTTGCACGGTTCAAATATTTCGATTATACGATGAAAAACGACCCGGAGCACCACCAAAATTTGAGGACGAGGGATTGGAAACATTGCTCAATCACAACTCATCACTTGCAGAATCACTTGGAGTCACTCAACCAACTATTACCTATCGTTTAGGAACATTAAGAATGATCCGTAAAGCTAATAAAATTGGTACCATACAAACTAAAGCGACGCCTCGAACGCCGTTCTTTCGACCACATGTCAGTCGGGTCGTTAAAAAGTAGTTGGATACACTTCGATGGAAATATGGTTGTATTCTGACCTTAAATACGCGCCCAACAACACCTCAATCATTTCAATCTAAAAATCTGTTCAAAAGACATTCAAGTATTAAACGGCAATTTTGAATTGAAAACTTTTTTCCTTTTGTTGGTTTGTATTTACGCAACAAAGCGATGTCCTGAATTTTTCTGTATTAAGCAGCTCACGCTGAAAAGCTTTTGGTCTACCACTTTTTGGAAAACCCGCTAGCTAAGCGGGAAAACTGATCAAAGGCTAGACTAAAGATTTGGTTATGAACTATATATCGTTAAAAATGTATTTTCAAGCGCTATTTACGTTACATTAATATATTTCCTTCAAGTAATATAATTATGGAACTATAGCCAAAAATATGTTTTTGTGTTCACACTTTAGCGATGTTTTTTTTGAAAACGCATGTATGGATTTCTTTTTGAGCTTTTGAGATTACGAAACTTTTGATGTATAAGACATTTATCCTTAAAAATGGGAGTAGTTCAGCTCTTTTTATTTAGGGTTTTATGCTTACTTGAATGATCAGAAATCTATGCAAAGCCAAGTTGATAATAAACAAGAAAGGAAGAAAACTTCGGCAAGTCGAAGTTCATATACCCTCGCAGCTTTTGCAAGAATTAAATATTTTTAAAAATATTAAAATTATGATTTACTTGCGTATATGTCTAAAAGCATTGAAGCAATGATGATTTACAGCTCAATTATTAGATAGTTATTTTATATATTTTTATTATTTCTATGGGAGCTATATGATATAGTCGTCCGATTTTAATGAAATTTAAAACGTAATTCTGAAATATTTAACCATTACTATAAGTCGAAGAACTAATAGAACAATTAAAAAACAGCAAAGTTATAATTTTTTTTTGTATTTTTTTTTCTGATTGTTCCTATGGGAGCTATATGATATAGTCGTCCGATTTTAATGAAATTTAAAACGTAATTCTGAAATATTTAACCATTACTATATGTCGAAGAACTAATAGAACAATTTAAAAACAGCAAAGTTATAATTTTTTTGTATTTTTTCCAATTGTTCCTATGGGAGCTATATGATATAGTCGTCCGATCCGGCTCGTTCCGACTTATATACAACCTGCAATAGAAAGACAAATTTTGGGAAAGTTTCATGCAGATAGCTTTAAAACTGAGAGACTAGTTTGTGTAGAAACGGACGGACAGACGGACGGACAAACGGACATGGCTAGTTCGGCTCGCCTAGTGATAGGTGATCAAGAATATATGTACTTTATAGGGTCGGAGATGTCTCCTTCACTGCGTTCCAAACTTCTGACTGAAATTATAATACCCTCTGCAAGGGTATAAAATTTAGTTTCTTTTTATGCTTCGCTATTTATTAATTAAACTTTTTCCTTTCGAATACTATTAATCAGTGTATCAAATCTAATGGTAATAAACTAACAGTCGTATAACACCGAGTGATGGGGCCCTTAAAATTATTGCACGGTTGGGAGGTCGTTGCGTTGTAGGCGGGCTCCATTGTGCCCCAGTGATAGATCTCAGGATTTTTGATTGTGTGCGCTGAATGAAGTCTATGTTGCAGCTGCTCGCGTTCCGCCAAAGCTGGAAACCATATGTCCACATAGGCTTAAGAGTGGAGTTGTTCAGCAGGAGCTTGTTGTCTAGACGCAGGGGCGATCGGGCGTTTAAGATCCAGTAAAGCTGCTGACTTTTAGTTTAGATGTAGTTTCTATCGAGGTGAACGCCGAGATACATTACTTCGTTGACTTGGGGAATCTGCAACGTGTTTACATTTTTGTTCATTTATTTTATAACGCCAGTCAGATAGTTACCTCTCTACTATGATGAGGTAATTGGCTGGTTGTGATGTTTCTTGGATTGGGCACGAAGAGCGACTTAGGATTGCAGTGTCGTCAGCGAATGTAGATGATGTTAGCTGCTCGTTCGTAGGAATACCCGATGTATATAGGACGAACAGAGCCCGGGACTCCAGCTTCGATAATGTAGTCGTCAGATTTTGTTGTGTTGCACCTTACTCCGGAGCCGGTTTCAGTTTCCCGATGATTTTCGCGATCTTATTTGGCTGAAACTGAGATGGTAAGGAATTATTTTCAGATTCAATTTGTGGTAGACGAAAAAGACCAGTTGTAGTGTTTGGCTGGAAGACTCTTCGGAGATGTGAAGCAAAAGTTTCGGTTCTAGCTTCGCCAATGCGAGCCCAGCTATGTACCTGATGAATTTCGTATCCGAGAGACGGTTTTTTGTAGTGGTTGGCGAAAGTTTTTCGATGTACCGTAGTTGTGCATTTCAGCGTCCTTCTTTAGGGATCGGTTTAGAGTGCGAGTGGCTTTCTCAAGACGTTGTTTTGAGGATTGTGATCTATTGGCTTGCCAAGCACGTCGCAGACTCTTCTTTTCCAGTACAAGCTGTTCAATTTGTAGATGGTTGGTTAAAAATTTTTTTGCTTGTGGTGTAGAATTATTAAGACTGTAGTTTCAAAACAAATACTTTTGATATCAAACAAAAGCACCTCTTGACGAGGTAAAATTAAAGTGACGATCTCACCTTTAACTCGAAAAACTTCTGATATCAGATTCGGCAAATTGAAGTTTATATCCGCTTGCCGCTATTGCAAAAAGTAAATTTTCTTGAAAACATAAAAATTATTATTTACTTGCGTATATGTTTAAAAACATAGAATTTGTGATGATTTGCAGCTCAATTAATCGATAGTTCCTATGGCAGCTATATGATATCGTTTTCCGATTTAAATTAAATCATAAGCGTAGTTCTGAACTGTCAAATTATTTATTAGTCAAAAAGAATTTCTAAAAAAAAGTTACAAAATAAAAAAGTTACATTTTTTGTAAATCTATTTTTTATTTTGTGTTCCCATCGGAGTTTTATGTTATAGTCGTCCGATTGTGATGAAATTTAAACCGTAATTCTGAAATATTTAATCATTACTATGTGTCGAAGAACTAAAAGAAAAATTTAAAAACAGCAAAGTTATAATTTTTTTTTGTATTTGTTTTGCGATTGTTCCTATGGGAGCTATATCGAATGACTATAGCATTCGATCCGGCACGTTCCGACTACCTGCAATAGAAAGACAACTTTTGAGAAAGTTTCATGCAGATAGATTTAAAACTGATAGACTAGTTTGCGTAAAAACGGACGAACAGACGGACTGACCGACGGACAGACGGACATACGGACATGGCTAGATTGACTCTCCTAGTGATGCTGATATATATATATACTTTATAAGGACGGAGATGTCTCCTTCACAGCGTTGCAAACTTCTGACTGAAACTATAATACCCTCTGCATGGGTATAAAAATACCATTCGATGAAATACCACCGGGGTCGATACATCAATGAGCAAATTTGATCTAAAAAGTACAATTTAATTGTTTGTTCATTCCACCAATGGGTTAAATCATTATCTGGCTTCAAGTTAAAAACATAATTTAAAACTAAGAATTGAAAATAAAATACTCCCTAAGCGGTTGCCTTCTCGGATTCCCAAAAAAAGGGAATGCTCGCTGGCATGGAGTTAAACAACCGTAAAGGCCTTAAATGTGGCTCATTCAGCGCAGAATTGGTCCTAGCAGCACTCTCATTAAAGAGACCAAAGCACGGAGACTTCTGGCTGGGACATTAAAATTGATTGAATTTACCAGGGATGGCCTGTTAGTTCAACCATTTAAAATATCATTTAATATTAATAGTGCCTGTAGGATTCCAAATAAAAGATGGAACGCACAAATGTTGAATACACAGAAAGTTTCGAGTATGGGACTGTTAATAGCACGGTATTTCGCTTGACAATTTCAAACATTGCATACGCCTTTGGAAGAATAAACAGAAATTTACTACCAAAAGGGACCACCAGATCCATGGTCTCACTCAGCGTAGAGATGATTGTCAATAATGTATGAAAGAATTGTAAAGATACGCTTGCTATAGCGAACAACATAACATTTATTTAAATTAAGAAGCAATTTTTCTGACTACACCATAAACTGATTTTGTTCAAGTCAGACTGTAGCAAATAACTGTCGTTTAAAATTCACCTACATGTATATTTTAAGGTCATCCGCATAAAGAAGATATTCTGTAGATTGAATGCAGTAACAATTATTGAAAATAAGAAAAAATGGGACAAGATAACTACCTTGGGAAGGCCGGAAGGTGTTTTAAAGGAGTAAGAAGCAAACCCACTGACTTTCACATGATTGGTTCCATTTACCAGGTATGATGAGATCCCCTTACAAAATGTAGAGTGCATACCAGGCCTGGAAAGCTTTGCAAGTAAAGCAGAGAGACAAACCTTCTCAAAGGCCTAAGCAAAATCTACCTGTGCCCACCTGCGAATGGAGCTCAAAAGCTTGTATGCAATGTTTGTAGAAAATAGCTAAGTCTGGGGTCGTAGAACGACCAGGCATGAACCCATGCTGATTAGGGAAGGAAGAATAATTTTTTTAACTATAATTCTCTCGAACAGCTTTGCATTGCATATTTTAGCAATAGAGCTGTTATTGGAAACCTCGGATTTGCTTCCGCTTTTATGTACCGGTAGAATTTTAGCAATTTTCCATCTAGATATAAACATACCCTGAGATGGTAATAAAGAAAAGAGAATTTTAAGAGGTTGAAATAGAGTAGAATAGCAATTTTAATGAAAGGAGTGAAGACACTTTAACAATGTCAGACTTTGTGGAATAATCAAAGTGAGATATGGCTTCAGAAATACCCTCATCAGATATATTAAAAACCCAATGTTACAAAATTTCTGGAATGTTATTAAAACTAGTTGGCTTTCCCAGCTTGAAGCAGGCTCAACGTTGGCAATATTAGCACTAGAGTTAACAACAAAAAATTAGAGTACGGGGTCCCTTTATGCTTACATGGTACACTATAAACATCAAAAAAAATAAAAAAATAAAGAATAAGTTTCATAAAAGGTATATTAGGTGGGGTAATCCAGTAGATACAGATAAATACTGGCAGCACAAGCGGTAATTAAAGTTTTTAAATAAATAAGTTTTAGCACAGCATAAATCTTTCTCAATGTAAACAAAAACACGTCTTGACAAGGAGAAATTAAAAATAAATCTTTTTATTAAGCGTATTCCTTAAATCCTTAGTACCATGGAAACTTGTAGGGACCCCGTACCTTGGTTAAAACAAATCTGTCAAGAGAATTCTTAAGCGCTACAAGAAAGTCATGATAATTATAATTAGTCTCAATGCAAGCATTCAATTATAAGGAAACAATCCATATATGTGAGGCAATCACTTACGGCAACCAAGCTGACATGATTAAATTTATATATTGGAACTACAGTAAGAGCTGGTCAAAAATTTATAAATTCAATATTAAAGCGTATAAGGAATAAAGCGTAAAAGGAAGGATATTAAGAGGCGATTAAGAAACGTAAGTCCAATACTTCTGTGAATCGTAGCACGATTTAAAAGCGTGTAATCATGCTTAGCCTCGGCTCATAATGCTTTGTTTAATTACAATAGCTCACAGAACAAAATCGAAAAATAAACAATTTTTCAGCAACACTGAAACTAAAATACCGATACTTGACAAAAACAATGTAATTTATTTATTAATCCCATGCGCTGGGGATGGTTACGGAAAGTGTAACAAAGTATGTAAATTAATTATAAGTCCTGTTTAAGGATTTATTTTAAGACGCACTATACTGTACGAATGAGAAGACTTGGTAATTGCGAGGTTTGACCGTCACGGTTTATTTCCAAAATTCAACTAACTGCTAAGTACAATAATTCTTATAACGAAAGCTAGCCCTATGCCCTAGAAGTGCTGACCCGGCTGCCCATGCATGGTCTGGGTAGCCGCCGCTGCATCAGAGTGCATTGCGTTGATTGCGAGGACCGAAGCTTGGGAACATCCGTAGGTGTCGCTGGTCTTGCATTATTTTAGTCGGTTATGCATGATCAGCTTGGGAGCTTCCGTGTTGCTGTGAAACCGTGTTAGATTGTATATATTGGCACGACATGTCAAAACTAAAGACGAGACTACCAGGACAAAAATCAGACATAAAACGAATAGTTCAATACAAAAAACGGCTCTTGCTGCCCACTGTGCGGACACAAGACATGCGCCAGACTTTGCGTGGGTAAGCATATAACCACAAGAAAACAATTACAACAAGCGGCTTACTCTCGAAATGCTCCACATAGACAATACTACCACGCACACTAGACTATACTTTAAAACACACTCAGAAAAAAAAACGGGACCAACGTTGCCTGTGGGCAACTTCTTATGTTTGGGGTCTAGATGTAAGCGCGCCTTTTGTTTTTATTCTCATTCTTAGTCATAACGCTGCACTAATATAAGCTTTACAAGTTAGATAAAAAAAGTGCATTTGAAGATCATTTAGGAAATTTGCATTGAACAGATTACACGTGCTTCATTAAGAAGATTGTTGTGTAATTTGCGGACGCATTCAATTTGGGATTTTACATTAAAAATAATTGTACAAAATGAAAAAGTACAAATCAAAAAGTGTACATAAATGATTTATATTTATTGTGTAAAAGTTTAATTTGATAAATTTTACACAATAACCAGGTGAGTTATTTGCAAAATTAAATGTTGCTTGTATGCAACATTAGGCAATCGAGTATATAAAAGTTGTAAGAAATTTGTACATACATCTGTAGATATGGAATCAAAAGTAAAGGGCCTGCTAAAAGAAGACCTTGAGAGGATTGTTAATTTTAATTGGAATGTCTCTACCGACGATGAGAGTGATGATGAGATGGAAGAATGAGATTTTTTGAAGATCAGAAAAACGACGGCGTGGCGACCTCAAATCTTTTGATAAAAAAAAATTTTATTCCAGATGGAAAAAGTTGGTTCCTGTTCAAACATGCGCACGTATAAATTTAAGTATATGAGCTCAACATAGCAGCCACTTGAGTCAAATAAAATTTATTCACACATACCATGTTAAATGACTTCCTGCGAGCGGTCATAGAACGTCTTTGCCTATAAGTTATATTAGGGTAGTACTGATCTCTCTTATCGCACCGCAGAATGTTTTCCCAAATTAGGGAAAAGCAAGTCACTCCGTGGGATATTATAAAAAAAAAAAATAATAATACCGATTATAAGATTTTATGAGCTCTGTACATGTCAATCGTTCTCGAGCCATAATTTACGATCTGTTACCTAAACCATGCCTTATGTGTTGTTAGCACTTGTAATCATAAGTGCAGGTCACTTGAGCCTCTACTTACCTACCACTTAACGTTTCCCACACTGCACAAAGGACTCGTGCGACAGTCAAAATATAGTTCTCCCGCTCAGGGTAAACAATGTTACTTGCAAAGAAACTTTATGAAATAAAAACAGTTTGAAATTATAACTCAGCAAATGAAGACGTGTCATTATCTGGGCGTTCTTTTCAGTCCCGAAAACCCTAAACAGACACAGAAAGGGTGGCATACATGTACAGACATTTACTTGACCAAAATAAATTTAGAAATTAGTTTATAACTCCGCAGTGGAAAAAACGGTGGTTGTGTATCCATTAAGTGAATATTAAAGTTAATGCTTACAGTTACGAACCCCGAAGGGGTT